AGATATTCTCAAGGAAGACAGGCAGAAGACCTTCTACTTCTCTACTTAATAAATTAGTTGATAATATGCTGCAGCAGCAGGAGATGCTGTCATTCTTTGCCAACAGGAACAGCAAACTCCCTCTGAAGGTATGCTAATTAAATCAGTCTGATTTGTGAACCATGACAACATACTATGCATAGCACTGTATTTATCAAAATTAGAATTCTGTCAGTTATTACTTGTTTGTAACTCTTTCTAACCTTTTTAAGAGAGGTTAGAAAATGTCAGTGTTCATTTGGTGCCTCTAACTCCTGTATCTCCACAGCAATCCTACAGAAGGAAGAAGCTGTAAAATTATGGGAAGAAGCTGGAGAATTAAACAGGTTGAGGACTCTCCCTCTTGTTTCCGAGTGTCTTCTTCCTCAGCAGCACTGCCAGGTTAAGGTCATTCATACTCCTATACTCCTTCAGTTGTAACAACTGCTGTGAAACAACTCCTGTTAAGAAAAACTCCATTGACAGAGTTATTTTCTTCAATCACCTCAGTTCAACGATTTGTTTCACAGAATGGTTTGTCAGCACAACAGAACAAATGCAAACAAGCAACTTGGGACACACACTCCCTCAACTGGCACTGCTAGACTTCATGACTGAACTATAGACAGTTCCATTGACAACCCATGCAATTTCAGGAAGTTTCTTCCAGAAGGGCTGTGTGATTCACAAATACTGCAGCAGTTACAGATGATAGCTACCCTACAACTACAGATAGTTTTTGGAAGCCAATTTAAAGATACTAAATTTTAACAAGTAAGTGCACAAAGCATATTAAGAAAAAAATATTAATCCACTGAGACAACTCAAAAGTAGGACCTACAGATAATTCATCTATTCCCAGTAAATACAAATCACACCAAAGGGAAGATGAGTTTAGAGAGTCCAGCAGATTTAGCAGAAGGGAATTCAGACTAGAAATCACACACACACAGAGAGCATCCTACTAAGACAGCTCACATAGATCCTACACCTATCTCAAAACCTGAAAATGTGATAACACACAGGAGAGGAAGGTCTAGTGAAAGAACTTCTGATAACTAGAGATAATCAGTTTAAGTTGTGAAAGTGTGATGTTACCACTGATTAATCACTATTGTTGTATCTGAAGTTACAAATTACACTTTTATTAAGCTTTAAAGAAAAATGAACTACGAAGAAGGGTTGTAAAGTACCAGCAGTCTGTTCCGCACTTCTTAAAACAGGACAGTTAACATCTCACAGGGATAGGGGGTGGAGGTCCAGCCAGGGCCCAGAACACACAAAACTAAGGGCAGTTTCACACATTGCTTATCCAATACAGCATCTTGCTCCCTTCCCACCAGCTCTGGAATAACAAGCTGACTTCTCCATAAGCTTTCTATTCAGTTTTCTTTCCCTTAATATGGATTATTTTCTGATATTTTAAACAAATTAAAGCACCTCGCAGAAAAGTCTGGTGATTAGACAACCCAGGTAAGCAGCAAGCACTCACAGTCAAAAGGCAGCAGAAAAAAGGAAATTAATCTTTTGACAGCCATAATCTTAGCTGGTTTACCCAGCACTGCATAACCAAGCTGAAGCCACACTTCCAACACAGCTGCTAACCCACAACCAGGATCCAGTACCTCTGTTAGCAGCTGAGAAATGCTGGAATCCAGCCACATGTTTCTTCCCATCTTCCTTGCATCTTCTCTGCCATCTGAGATCTCATACCAAACATTATCTGTTCACTGTATCAACCACCTCTCTTCCCCAAATAAAGAGATTCTGCTGGGCCAAGAAGACAGACTTCACAGGATACTTCCTCCACTCTAACCCATGCCCAAACCTGGGATCAGTCCAATTCAAAACCCAAAAAGTTCACTTTACTTTTCATAATAGCAACTTTGTTGCAAGTCACTGTTCCAGTTACATATGAACAGGCTATTTTACATTAGTAAATTGCCACAAATTTCTTTCGAGGACAGGATCCACCACAAATCTAGATTATACTCTTACCCTTTTACACTACTTCACACAGCCAAACAAATACTGAGCTTCCAATGCACCGCTGTCACAAAACATCTACAAGATACACTTTGATCTCCTTATCTTTACAGTATTTTGTATTCTGGTACAATCAAAAGCCTAAGCCACATCACCAACCGTGCAGAAGGATAAAGGGACTCTAACCTAGCCATCCCTCAGTCTAGAAAAGCAAAGAGTAATGGTTGGGGTATAAGGAATACATTCTAAAAATTCTTTTCAATTTTTACAGTTGTTCAGGATAATAGAATAATTCTGGTTAGAATAGATCTCAGGGTTGTCTAGTCCTGCTCAGTGTGGCATCAGCCTCAGCCATGAGGCCAGACCAGGTGGCTTTATCCAGTCAGCCCTTGAAAGCCTCCAGTGATGGACGTCACGCAACCACCCTGGGCCCCCGTTCCACTGCTGAATTGTCCTCACGGAGGGGACAGGGGACCAACGTTTTCCCCCCAAGCCCATCAGAATCTCTCTGATCTCACAGGGCAAGTGCTCATGGCCTCATGGCTGAGGCTGATGCCACACTGAGCAGGACTAGACAACCCTGAGATCCATTCTAACCTAAGTCATCTTTTGACCCCGTGAAGTACAATTGTCCTTGATAAGATTGATTCATACTACTAAAAAAAGGTTGCCACCAGGGTAAGTGCATTCTCATGCCCATAATACTACAATCATTTACAATTCTGGTTTCACTTGCTGACTTTCTCCCTCAAGAAATACTAAATAACTAGAAGTGTTTTAATTCTATTTTATATGCAAAGTGAAAGTATTAGTTTTTAAACTATCATTACAGAATAACA